CGTCTTATAACACAATTCGGATTGCGTGACTTTTTAGTCAAATTACATAGGAATCCCACTAAATAAATTAAACAGAATCAAGTTTTATTTCCACAAATAAATTATATTACATTACTGACATTACATTGAAATATTCTTTTTCACGATAACAATAAATACTATAATATAGTTAAATTATTTTATTAGCTGTCCCAAAAAATATAAAAGTGTGAATGCCGATTTAGATGTAACACTGACTGCCACGATTCTGGAACTGATAATGGGACTAGCACAATACCTGCAAACAAAAGYATGCATTAGTGAAGAATCTTTTACTCGGAGAGCTRATCTGTCTAATAAATATAGCTATTTCAAAAAAGGTTGTCGTCGGATAAAATGGCGAATGTTAATGGTCGAACGGCGATTGCACGAAGACTGATTTATATTGCAAGATAGTCTGTCGTAAACATCGCCTCCATTTCTATGTAAAGGTGAATCCAATAATTGAAATTTGAAGTGCAACCATAGTCCCTTTCGGTCGTGCAATAGACCTCTGCAGCTTTTACGTCATGTACCGTATACGCAATGCATTGTAGGACATGTYTGRGACAAAACATGGCGGATTTCTCTTGAAACTGATCCCACAATGCATTGAAAATCAAGTAGTGACGTAAAAGGTTCAGAAGTCTATTATCCTTCGACAATCGCCGTTCTCCCCGACAACGTTTTTTGAAATAGCTATATGTAAAGGAAGTGACTGATTTAACATCGATTTAATATGTAACTTTTTTCATGTCACGTGATCTGTAAGCCTACCCTGCGAGCAGAGGGTTTTCTCATAAATCCTCTGATTCCTCTAAATCCTCTGCTCGAAGGGTAACTGGAAATCAATCAGTCTCACAGAAATTCGACAGTAAGTAGCCTAAATAGTTAAAGAGTTGAAWTGGTTCAAGTGTATCTTCTCTTCGGCGAAGCTGCCATCCGCTACAGTCGAATTCCTTTGGATTTAAAGATCCTCKCTAGCTAAAAGACCAATCCACAATGGATTCTGGTACGATTCGCGTCGGACGCAATTGGATGCTTACAAAGAAAACTCAAGGTTTCAAGTAAGTCCGTTCCATTCCTTATTGGGTAGCAAATTTTGTCGGTACCATTATTTACAACTATGWAAGGGTCGTGACATGTTATATGGTATTCCCTGATCGCGGCTATTTTAGGATCACGRATCGGGATTTGTTTCATTGGGATCGGGATCACAGCCACTGGGAACGGAATCATTGCTAAATAAGGGATCAGGGATCAAGATATAATATAGTTGTACCGGCGATCGTGAGTGCCTGCCCCCGGGGGTGTTGAGTTCAACTCTATGTTTACTATACGGGTATGTGCCGTTCCTTTTTCGGAACACCAAGTCTGGGTACGGATAGGGTATCATTTTTTACCCCATTTGTCTGGGACAGGGTAGTTGTTTTTTGTCTGGGTCGATAGTGTATTTTGTTTGTCTAGGATATTGTCTGGGGTAGGGTGGAGTATTGCAGGTGATCGTATCTGCTAGGCCACGCTTTCAGCGCTAAAATAATGTACCTTTGTACCTTATAGTCTGGGTAGGGTATGTAAAATCACTAAAATTGGTCTGGGATAGGGTAAGGGTTTTGAGGGTCGTGCGGCAAACCACCAGGAGGAGGATCGCCGGTACAGAAAATGTGAAGAGAATGAGTTGACGGGTTGTCGATATCGTTTTAGTTGCTTCCGATTCCAGCCGCATCTCGCGAAAGTCTTACTGATCATCACTCAGTAAGCTCCAGACGCTCGTTTACGGCAAAAGAAACATTGCTAATAGAAGTAAGAGTCAAGAGAGCCGCGCTCGAACAATCCCTGAAATTCAACAWTATGGATCCTCGGGAACCCAGGGGAAATCTTCTGTCGTTCGCCCTCCTCTGGGAGACAGGTACGAGAAAAACATGCTTTGAGTACGATTTACGCGGGTTTTTTTCCTGGGCTTTTCTGGGAGTGAGGAACGAACGACGGAAGATTACCCCTGGGTTCCCAAGGATGATAATATCTCTTAGAACAAACAAGTCTTGAACCCCTCCTGATACCTTAAAGGAGGACCTCAATGAACCATCGTGCAAGAAATACGGCGTCTATTTTTAGCTTTAAGTGCGGCGTCTGTTTGAGCACGGCGTCTACTCCAGTAGTCCAAGTCAAACGACAACACAGGTAGCCCAGACAGCATTTGAGGCTCTCATTGACTCTGCGCCAATCACAGCTCAGAAAAATGTCTCCTCTACCAACCTCTACCATGGTTGATGCTGATCCGAATGCAGCCTACGAGGAAGCTTGGGAAAACTAAGACAGCAACAACACAGAAACAAAACTCAATTGTCAGGACCGCAATTTCTACCGACTACAAGGAAACTAGGAACGCAAAAGGAGATGTCAAGACAAAGGCCAAATCCTCGGGCAAAACGATCGACGACAAAGCTCAATCTTTCTGCCCTTACCACAAAGATGAGAGTAAGGACTTTTTTCTGATCGAACAACAAACTGTGTAATAAGTRTGCCAAACGAGATTCACATTTAGAAGTTGATTGCAAGGAAGCACTACCAAAATGCGGGGAATGTCAAAAGCAACACCTGACAGCACTTCATAACAAATCACGTCAAACCCCCAGAACATCAACTGCTTACGGTATACACAAGTGTGCGGGAGGGAGGAATGCAATCAGTCTTGCGCTAGAATTATCCCCGTAAAACTCTACCACTAGTCCCTCCTATCAAAGAAKGTATTGATGCACGAAGTTCTCGATCACCAGTCTACAGATGTTAATAAATCCCTCCTTGAAGATCTTTAAGTATCTGCTTTACTTAACTTTCTAGTTACAGCCAATAATCTCCTGCGTATGTTACCTCATCTTATGACATTTTTACTTTAATCGATTTCTGTTAGTTAATAATGCATTCATTACCGGTAACAAAAGAATCTTGTAACTGAGCTTATCGTATAAAGAGATCTGAGAATCATTGTAACATAAGAGATTTAGAGACCACTCTCCTAGCATTGAGCTTGACTCATGCTAGTCAAGAGATCACCTAGCGAGTATTAGCTACGTTACTCAAGATTAAACCAAGATTTAAAGCAGAATTTACTCCGTGCTCTATGTCCAAGTCTCGTGCCGTCTCGTAGGGTAAAGTTCAGATTACGGGCCCTGCAATTCGAACTACTACCGAAGCTATAGTCCACCCCGACGCTCGGTACACGACGCTCGGTAAATATTTACCGTAACAGTGGCCTACATCGGTAAACTGCGTTAATATTAAAAGGGAAATCCTGTTAGAAAACGAACTACCTCGTCCAAGTGATTCTGCTACATAATTCATTTTCATCMAAAGACGTCACAACTCCTAATCACCTGTGAGAAATGATGTAGCTGTCACAGAATATGAAGGACAGAGAAAATGGAATCTGTCGAAGATAATCACTTTATCAACACTCTGACAAAGGGAATRMACGAGAGGAGCAATGGAAACTGAGATATGCCATTACCTTTCTAAAACSAACGAGGTTGTCTTACCAAACAACAAGAGACACTGTCTCAATAGGCTTCTCTCCCTCAAAAGAAAACTTSTGTGAGACWATTTGGGCWTCACGCCAAAAAATATTTAAGTAGTATAGGAATGAGAGTTCTACCGCACAATTTCAGARCTTGGTGACGTTTTTGCCTGTGAGGACAGCACGTCCCTTTCCTGAGCCCGTGAGAGCAACGCCAGGTGTCCCGMWGAGTGAGAGGTTGTKGGARGGTTTGSGTTCGTAGGGGAACCCTTTCTCTTAGAGTGTCATGTCTATTTTTAGATAAGAYGGGTTGGAATTGGAGTCAATGACGTSATATCATTATGCGATTGGGATTAAATGCTGACCTCATTTCAATTTCTATGTATTCAGAAAAATGTTTTAGTAGCACTTTTGTTTTTTCTTGTCCATTTATTTCATTTCACCATTTTACAAAATATTAATTGTATTACTCATAACATTTCCCATAATATTCCTTATAACTTATAACATTAGCTATAACATTACTTATAACATAACTTCAAATATTACTAACTTAGAGGCTAGTCTAGCTAAACCTACAGGCTAGACTTGCCTTGCCTAGCCTAGCCTAGAGGGTAGCCTAGCCTAGCGTGTAGCCTTGTAATAAAACAGCCAGATTGCGTCTTAACGAAAAATCTCTGACATCATCATCTTCTTGAGCCAAAGTCTCATGAAAAAAATTGAATAAAGAGTGGAATTAAAATAATGAGTCCACAATGTTCACATGCTAAACAAACTGACAGTAACCTAAAATGGTTTGACTGCAACATCCAAACAGAGGAGGCGAACATAAGAGGAGTTTGTTTTCAGGAGTAGCTGACAGGGTATGTCAACCCGTCAACTCCCTCCTATGTTTGGATCCTCTGCTAAAACTGTATAGATACTTTCAAAACAGCTGGAAAAAAGGAGGAAGAGGTAGATGATGAGAATTGCGAAATATGCATGGGTGATTCAAAAGATTGTATGCTACTGAACGATAGATGTGATGATGCTTCCCATACCTACTGCCTCCATCCTCCCCTRATGTCTGTACCAAGTGGCGAATGGACGTGTCCCAGTTATGTAAAAAAAAAGACTCACTGTGTGGATTATAAAAAGAAGGTCGCAAAAGATTAAGTTCATATCCAGTCAATCAAAACGATCAATACACCATCGAAGGCAAGTAATTCTCCCTTTCCAGTACAGCATGGAGCAACATCGAAGACGAGTTCTCCATTATCACTACTTCGTAGAGCTCCATCAAAGGCGAGTTCTCCATTTCCACTACAGTGTGGAATTACATCAATTGCGAGGAATTCTCCATTTCCACTACTGCATGGAATTCCATCAAAGGTGAGGAGTTCGCCATTCCCACTACTATGTTAGGAGGCAAACGAGATGGCTACCCTGTCGATATCATCTTTCAAGAGAAACAGTCCAGGTTGCAAGAGCTGAATCTGGTTGATTTGGCTGGAACTGAAAGATCATCAGCACAGCGCACAGATACAYATGTGAAAAGTGTTATAGGCATAAGCTAATGTCAAAGCCTTYTGCAATTGGAGACTCAAAGACGCTCATGTTGGTGCAAATTTCACCTGCTAAAAAGAATGCAGAGGAGACCATGTGCCTCTTAYTTTSGCACAGCGAGCTWGAAGAATAGAACTTGTCTAAGCTACCAAAAAGGCCAAGTTGAAGGAGAGGGTCAGGGAATATGAGGTTTTAACCTG